CTACTCACTTTTTCTTACTATCTGTTTCTTTTTAAAGAGTTCATCACTGTCTTGTATTTCGTCTCTGTACTTCCACACCAAAATCAACAGACCTATTGAATCTTTAATAAATCACTTTGCATGCTTATCAATTTATGTATTTACCCCTCCCCAGGTCTTCAGTTATTTGCATCTCCATAAATGTTCCTTTTACATCAAACATAGCTCACTGCTATTTGCCATTATTTCACAATTAATAATTTAATCCAGTATAACTAAAATGTGATTTCTGTACTCAGCCTGCGTTACCTAATTTACATGTCAAAAATGATTATTTCAACCCAAAAATCTTGACAATGAAGAGCTTTATACTTACGAGATACGTATTTTTACATGGTATTTTGAAAACTTTCTACAGAATCTTTGTCTATAAACCACTATTATTTTGGTGGTGTATGAATATGATTGCCAGTGTTCGGGGTTTTTTAATACTTTTTTACTATCTAAAATTGTTACACTGAATTACAGGAGCAGTGCTCCTTTGCTGAATTTATGTCAATAAAATTGTTTTTCCACAGGGAAAAGAGAGCTTTTTAAAATCTAGTTTTATGCTTCAAATTTTAATGGTCTTCCCAATTACTTAGAAGGTCCTAATCACATCAAGAATAGTGACTTATTGCCTTGCTCAGGGCAGGTCTCCTCCTCTTTCTTTTTCTTGTAATCTGATGGGGGGGGGAAAAGAAACAAAAGAATACAGTAACAACAAAATAGTGATTTACTAGAGGACTATCATACATATGAATCCACTAGTTATAAATCACATCACAATCTCTGACATCTCTGATTAAGGTGCAGAAGATCCTGCCTTCAGGTGCTTGATGCTGAGAGACTTGTAAAAATTGAAAGTGGCATCTCAGCTTCCTATATCGATCATGAGACGACTCAGAGCCTTTGGAATGGATGCTAGAGGAGAAAGCATGCTCCCCATGCACAGGCAGCTATGAGGAAAACATTGGCCACGATGGCAGCTGAGTTCTCAGTTTTATTTAACGTTTGGACTATATTCCCTTCCTGACAATTAAATCGGTGAAGTCCTCTACTGAGTGTAGACATTAATATTTATTTAGTGTTTTAATATTTTTACTGTCACCAGAAGTGGTAGCATTCTCTCATACTGAAGCACTGAAATATTAATGTGTATTCAGTAGGATCTGGCAGTTCATATTCTCCACTGTAGCGCTTCTGTCAGGAAGAAAAACTTAAGAGAAATCTCTCTAACTGAGGAAAATTACAATTTTATTTAAAAAGACAAATTTAAGGTAGTAAGTGTCTCTAATCAAAACTTCTCTTGTGCAGTTCATCAGAACTTTAGTCAGAATTATGGAGTAGAAGAAGGAGAAAAAATGCTTTCAGGCAGATCTAGTAAAGTCCTGTCCTTGTGCACGAGGGACAGTTATTGAAGTAGCCAGTATACAACAGGAGAAAATACCAGCATGCTTGGGTGAAGGTTGCACCCTAGTTTCTAATGACTGGAAGTCTAATATGGAAAAAGTTTTTGAAACATCTCGTTGCAATCTGAGCAAGCCATGTAATGCAGATACATTTTGATCAGTAAGTGTTGTGATAGTATTTAATAATTTGACAAAGACGACATGACCCAAGACACACATTCTTTGTGGCTCTACAGAAGCGTTGCAGAAGTCCTGACCAACACACTCAGTCCTGCATGCAGACGACAGGTCTTCTGCTCCTTCTCAGGACACCCACCAGCCCAATGAATATAGAAGGAAACAGGCTTCGGAAACAGTAATAGGCTTCGGAAACAGCACTACCTCTCATTCCTGGGCAAATTCGTACGGAAGTTTGCACAGATCCCTTGCAAGTCCTTCTACTTAAACTGAGTATTAGCCACAGAAGTTGTATCTGTCCTAACTAATTAAGCATGTACGGGACTGTTTGCTGACACTATAGCCAGCTGGCAAAGACCAGACCACTTCCATACTATGAAACTCTTTATCCCCCTAAAACAGGGCGCTGACATGCAACAGCTCTTTACAAATGCTCCTTCACCCATGAAAACTCTCCAGCTATACCAGGAACTGTTTGGGAGAGTGCTAGATGGTCCATTTAGCCCAAAATCCATGTCAGTGATCACTCTAAAATAAATTAAGAATATAGATGATGGTGGTGTTCTGTCTGGGAATGTTCTATGATATTTACTCCTAGTGAATGTGTAGACTGAACAATTTGAGTTTAGCTGAGAGTATGGAACTAAATCCACGTACGAGACACTGAGGGATGATAGCGTCCTGCAAACAGGCATTACTGTCTTCCTGGATTTATCTCTGCCCAATGACTTGTGATTGCCTCTTCTGAAATAGAAACACAGAATAATTCTATCTTCTCAATTTTCCTGAAACGAATGACATGAACTCAGTCTCTGCCATGGAACAACAGGAAGTGCAGGAGAGGAAACACTGCAGTAGACGAGCTCATGTTTCTTTTCTTCATTTTTTTCATTAGGTTTCCTGAGCTACCATGCTATCTATCAATCTTTAGGAATATAATCACTTCAAACCCTGTTAGCCTGCCCTTTTGCCATTCAACTCATTCACCAAGGAAAACAAATTTATAATAAAAGTAGCATATGAGGTAGTACAGAAAGTGATCACAAAGCACCACAGTAACTTTTTTAAGTTGCCTCTGCTTCAGTAATATCCATGGGGCTTTTACAAATGCATCTAGAAACATGCACTGCTAAAATGGAGACATTTATGATGCTGGCATAAAAGCTGAACAAAACCATGAGTCTCTACAGAGGTTCAATGTAGTAGTAGTAACGGGAAGCTGTTTTTCTTGGTTTTACTTGCTTTTATATTTAGTGAAACCATGGTTAAGTCCCATAGTACCTGCTGCAGAAAACTAGAATATGGTGAAGATTAATACTCCAATGTCAGAAGCTGTAATTGCATTGCAATGATTTTTCTACTTCCATTTTTTGTTATTTACAGGTTTTAGTCAGCTAAAGAACCCGTTGGAACCTTTCAACACATTATAAGCTTGACCGTATTTACAGACAGTAAAGAAATAAATGAATATGAATAATGTGACAAAGAAACAATCAATGATATTCCTGTATCACTTAAACTGGAATTGCCTCTCTACTGTGACGTCCTTTGTTAATACAGACTGAGAATGGAGGACCTACGCCTCTTCCCAGACAGTTTGGAGAGCTGGGTGATAAGAAAAACCAGCATCTTTGTTCTTTTTTCTGTGCTTTCACACAACAGTGTCAGGAAGGAATTGGTTTAGGGTTTACTGCTGTGTGGACTGACTCCTTGGCTGTAACTAACTTTGCTACACAGCTGAAAAGAGAAAAAAAAAATCCCTGCATTGGTATACATGAACAGGGGATAAAGGAAAAGTGGAAGAAACAAAAATGGCTACAAGTGAGTGAATGAGTATTAACAAAGGAAAATGGCAGAATAAATGAAAAGAAGAAGGACCTTTAAATTACAGAAAAACATACGGCATGGATTCTGTACATTTCTATCCAAACAGTATAATAAAACCTCCGGATAAGTCATGAGGAAGAGTCGTCCTGGCTCCAACAGCCTTACTTCTCAGAGAAGAGTGACCTGGGTGTCTACTGTTTTCTAGGCTTAAGGCCTGAATCAATCAGAAGTTACCAGAAAAAAAAACCCACATGTGAATGTCACAAGTGAGATTTTTCATCTCTCGAAGCCTGACTGTGAGCATTGGTCGTATCATGCAACATCTTCACAGAGGGACTAACTTTTCCTGTTAACTCTCTCCGTACATGACCACTACTACAGAGACAATGTTTGTCCACACTTGGGAGTTAAAGAACATACCACAGAGATGGAATGTGTTGCATTTGGGATGTTCTACTCCTCGATGAAGACTCCAGACTTCATAGCAAACGCAGCAGTAAAATAACACCTTTCACTTCGCTGTTCCAGACTGCTAGCAGAGAGGGGGTTTTTGGACTATAAATTTGTTTTCTTACTTTTGAAGTTTCTGATGTAAAAAGTTTGAGTTTTATTGAGCTGTTCCATGTGTAATCTGCCTCCCTAAGGAAGTACAGTGCACCTATGTGACCTACGAAAACTAGGAAATGTACCATGTATTTCAGTAAAAGGTCTTCCCAATGGGAAATACTTTTTAAAAATATGATTTTTTTTCATACTTCTTTTTGATACCAGTCTATCTCTGCCTAGATGAAACTTCAGAAAAGATCAAATTACCTTGTACATAGTTTTGACCCAAAAAACCCCAAATCAACATACACAGGAAAGCACTTCAGATGAATGGAAAGAGACAATTTGTTTCATCTCCTTTTCCACTCCTCATGTTTCAGATTGAGAAATGCTGAGCATCTGGAAAACTGTTTTTCACTGGTTTTAAAACAGAGGGAAAACCGTTCTGAATGAATTCAGAATTAAAAATTAAATACAATGTGCAATAATGGCCTTAATCAATTTGCTACTCACAGCTCTAACTTTCTAAATGTTTTTCATTCTCTTTTCCAATTTATTATAGTTAAGGCAAACTGAGGAACTTAAAAATAAATAAGACAAATGTTTTCAGAGTGGTATTGCATAATTTAAGGACTTCATGAAATCTTACATTGCAGCCACTGTTAATTGCATCAACATATCTGAAAGTAACCAAATTGATTGCCATTTCTTTAGCTTCTCAGCTGGAAAAAGAAATGTACTGGTTAAACATGACATTAAAGTAAAGCTATAAAACCCATACAGCATTATGAAGAAATAAAATAGTTTCCTAGTCAAAATCAGTTTATTTCCAGTTTTGCCATGCCTTCTAGTTTGGCTCTGAATCTACTGAGACCAGGACTTCTAACACTGACTTCAAAGGGAAAAAACCTGATCTCTTTCTGTGAGGTGGTCACATGCAGTTTCCAGCTGCAGTATTATGCTCTGCCTTGTCAACTGCTCTGACAAAGTGGTAATTTATTTTATACTTTTTAATCATACCTTGAGAATTTTGCACATTATCTCATAAACTGAAAATGTTTTCTCAGCTCGTGTCCAATCCCAGGTTGTGACCTTGGAGAAAAACCAAACAAACAATCAGGAAAAGAAAGTAAGTTATTTTTGTTTATTTCAAGAATTACGTGTATTAAAAAAGAAATAAAAATCATCCCAGGGATGCAGCCCTGGAATTCCTCTCACAGAGCCTTGACTATATATCTCTATACCTTTTACATCCAGTATAATGTTGCATTGAGATTGTGAGAGGATGCAGTCCTGGAATTCCTCTCACAGAGCCTTGACTATAAGAGGGAATGTTTTTCACCACTTCCCTCCTTATAATTGCATGCCATAATTTGCTCCCAGTCACCTACGTTGTTTGCGAATCCATAAAACCAGAGTCTCCAACCTTGCAATGGCCCAGACCCTCACCAGACATACCTTGAAGTCCAGGGGAAAAAACTAACAAGAAACAACAGAGGCAAATATACATTTTCTTTTTTTCTTACCATGATTAACCTACTCAAATTCTAACAAAGATTTGAAGAATAGTCTGTTTCTCCTCTTTGTCTTAGGATTTGACAATTGTTTTTAACAGCATTAATTTTAAGCAAGTATTTAACACAAGAATTGTATACCTGAAAGTTCAATAAAATCAGTCATAACTTTCCTCTTATTAGAATTTTATTTATTTGCAATCATCCTCAAACTCCACTTTCACTATGTTATCGAAGTATGGGTACTAAACCAGATTTCTAAGGAAGGCAATGACTAAATATTGAGAGTCAACAAACTGTTTGATACAAAATGAGGAAGCAAAGAAATATTGCAAATACATAATCTTTATGCCTGAGTGTTAAGAAGCTATTCAGAGATGCAATGAACAAGATGTAAAGGGAAAGAAAAAAAAAAAGGGAGGGGGGGAAAAATGCTGCTCTTTCTACTGTGGACAAAAAAATAACTTTCTCACCATGAACAGATATATGGAGAGAGGAGTCTTGCTACAGCTCCAGTGAGCCCAAAACAAGCTGAAATCATATTGCCCCGTCAGGAAAAGTAGTTACACTGCTGCTGAAGCACGAAGCCATTCGGAGCTACGTTTAAAAGGTTACTGTAGACTCCATACTTTGGGGAAAAATATCAGAGCTTCCACTTCCCTAGTTTTCTGCTTTTGATTGTACTCCTAAAGGGACTTCCTTTCAGGTCAAACCAAAACTTTTTCTATATGAGAATATGTAAAAAGCAAAAGCAACTGTAGAATTAAAACCCATGGAAATTGCTTGCCCTGTTCACTTTTAATATTTTAACTTAAAAGCTTGAGTAGCAAAAGAAAAGGTGTTAGCTGCTCCTTCTCAATTAAAGTCCATTCTCCCTGAGATTTCCAGCTATGCACTGTAAGAAAGTGAAACCCACCAAACTTGACATACTTAATAATTCTAAAGGAGAAAATGTACCTGGAAATAACAGGAAAGGTAATTTTGTTCAAAGCTTTCAACACCCAAATAAGATATGTTAGAATTGCTCATTTATCCGAGCATGGACAGCAGAAGTACTATTGATCAAACAGATAAAAAAGGAGGCAGAGGGAAGCTGCTAATATACACTGTTTAAACACATGCTTCCCTAATGTGTGAGACTTTGGCAGAGGCCAAGGAAATACTTCCATTTGATTTTCTGGTTAAAAAGTTGGCAGCCTATCTCTGTTCAGAAAACAGCTTAATCTAAGGAGTTTGTACTGCAAATATAATTAAAACTGTTTTTCTTCTTATAACTACACTTTACACATCTCATAAACAGAAGCTCTGAAACTGCAGCACTGAAGCCTTGTTCTTAATCTTTCATAATCCCTGGAAGAGATGAACACATACACCTGCAGAATAGCAAACATAACTGTATGTGTACAAGTCTGCATATAAATCCCAGGATTTTAGAAGTCCTTTTAAAAGGCCCACTGTGGCTTTTGCTAAGAAGATAATTTTGCTGAGCATATGAGTGTAGCTTTATAGGAACTGTTCCTCTGTTTGTCCTTTAAAAAGCACGTTTATTATTCTGCTTCCCTCTTACTCCATGGAGAGAAACTATTTTTCTCTCTGTTTGAACTGTCTTTCTATTTCAGAATAAGAACTAGAATCTGGCAAAACAATATCATGTTGTGCTTGCACCTCAGTTGAAACAAGAGCTATAAAGACTTCAGGGATCGGTGGCTTGGTTCATACAGCAGCAGCTTGCCAAAATTCTGCGAACTCACATCACTGTGGTTCACTGCCCCATTACGCACACATTCCTCCTATACCCATTAATCATCACCCATTACCCATCTACCCACCAGCAGCATTTGACTCCTGGAAACTTACGACTGAATCCTCAGTAAAGAGGCTTGTAGTTCCTTCCATAGTGCTTACAAAATAACAATCTTCCTCTGTTGCATTGAACGGGAGCTCTACACGTTGTTGCTACTTCTATCTAGCGTGTAGGATGGAGCTGGCTTTATTTGATGGACAGCAAATGCTTGGGTAGGTCTGCCAAAGCCAGGAAAGATGCTTTTGAATTAAGGTGCTTGGCAGCATAATCTGACATTTTAATCTGATCCTGAAAAATATCCACCAACAAAAGCCAAACTCCCATTACCAGCCATGGGAGAGCCAGACTCCCATACCAGTGAACTAGTGTACCAACACTGATCACACAAGGTTTTCAATTCGTACTTACTTCTGTTCGTCGTGTCTTTCACATGTCCTTAAACATTTTGGTAAACAACCATGAATAGTGAATGATGCAAAGACTTGCAAGCTGGCTTTGAACTACCTCAGGCACAGGCTGCCCAGAGAGGTGGTAGAAGCCCCATCCCTGGAAACATTCAAGGTCAGGTTGGACGGGGCTCTGAGCAGCCTGATGCAGCTAAAGATGTCCTGCTCCCTGCAGGGGGGTTGGAGTAGGTGGCCTTTAAAGGTCCCTTATAACAGAAACGACTCTATGACTGTGATTCTGTGATTCAGGCAGGAAGGAGCTACAGCCGGGATCTGGCAACACAGGATTTAGCAGCAGTCAGAAAGGTCACCCAACAAACGGAACAAACGAATCCACTCAACTCTCCCTGCTGCCGGTATGGGACTGCTACTGGCTCCTTACCTACTGGCTTAAAAGTTAGCTAGAGGATCTCTCTGTTTATTATAGTTTAGATGTAACATAAAACTGTGAAAGCAAATTGCTGAGTATGAGACAACAGCTAAAATCTTGCCCAGTGTTGCCAGTCAGATTCCAATTAATAATATATTTAACCTAAACAATTTCATTTGGTTACCTACCTTCCTTTTGGTGCTCCCAAACAGCATAAAAGTTACATTCAGGATGAAATCTAAACACAGATATATTGCCATTTCCACAGCATGCAAAAAGCTTTGATATTTTCCCAAATCTCAGCAGCTTGACTAGAATGATAGTTCAGTTTAAATCTAACCATCTTGCTTCAGGCTCGTTCTGCTTGACAAAGGAAAATGAAAAGCCCCCTTTTAGCACTAGTAGATTGTATTTTTCTAAGAGCTCAGGTAAGCTGGGGAAAAGAAATTGTTAGATGCCCAATCATCCCACGAACAGCTGATTTCTATCGCTTCTTTACCATATACCCTGGAACTTTCCAGTGCTGTAATTTGCAATCCTGTTAGCTCAATGAGTGATAGCTCATTGTGAAAGCCTTGTACATATTGCATGAAATGATGTTATTTAATAATATTTATTACCACTAAGCATGAGAAATATACTTACTGGAGGTGCTATAAATTTATACAGGGAAGATCCCCTCAGTGCTAGAAACTTTGGTGTGTACATTCGATCCTGAAGGGAGTCTTGTTCCCGTTCTTCCGTCCAGCCCATGTAGACTATCTGACAGAAAAATCAAAGTGTTGACAAATTCCTCAGACACTTTCTTCAAATGAATTGCAAATATTTCATGCAAGTAAGCTTATGTCTGTCAAATTTTACATAGCTACAACCGTTGAACCACTGACACAATATGGTGTACTGGCAGTTCTCTTATGGTCACGTACTTGTATAAAGGATGCCCGCTATGACAATCCAAAAACATCAGAACAAATATTTGTTGTACTAGCAACAATAAAAAAGCTAAACCACATAGTCAGTGGATGTTAAAGGTCCATTATCTCATTAAAAGCTCCCTGAAGTAATTCTACATATTGCTGACACATCATGTCAGTGAAACGTAATGCAAGTGAAGTGTAAGGAACCACTAGGAAGGAATGCAAAACCAAGCAACTGTTGTTTCACTGCAATGGAGACAAAGTCTCTGTGTACAAGCTCGCTTCCATGCATTAAAAAATACGATCTTACAGATTTTATTTCCATATGACGGTAAGCTTTTTTCTTCCCTCTGAAAATCCCTGTGTAGGAGTTTTGAACCTCCTTGCGTAGGAATAGCAAATTAACAGACTTTTCAGGCACTACTTTGAACAGGCTTCATCTACAGCTAAGAAGTAACCAGAATGCTGTCGACTCTTACCACTACTTGCAGATCTTCTGACACAGATGTATGAACTAGAACTTATTCAAACCCATTTTGGGATCTAATTCCCTACCTATCAATCTATTAAGTTTGAGTAATTTAATATCAAATCTTCAAAGAGTAACAGAATATGAGTCACCACTATGCCAGCTTCTGGACAATGTCTGAACAGGGAGTAGACACATCACACAACTTTTGATTTATAACCACGCCATTAGTAATAAAATACAATTTCCAACATGCACTGGTACACTACTGCTATGGAAAATAGATCAACCCATATTTCATACAGTGCTGCTAATGGAATAGATCTATTTTTAAATCTCTTTGTGCAACTGATTTCTACATCAACCAGGCATGGGGCATTCTCTGCCTTGAATGTCAGTAATGAACAGTTTAGGAAAAATAACTACAATCATATTAATTAATTATCACTGAGTTAGTAATTTTACTATGTTTGAAATCTACGCTACTAACCTCCACCACAGTTTATTTGGTATTTTGTGGTCTATAAACAGAGACAGGGAGAAGGTCCATTCCTCTAACACAGTGAAACCTCAGCATTTATCTCTTTTGCCAATAGCAAACACTAATACTGTAATATAGTCTCAGGTCCAATGAATAACAAGTATCTGCTGGTTTGGTGATTAAACAGCTTTATAAAACTCAAAAAGACGACAGAGCTGTACCACAATACTCAAGAATCAAGCGAGTGCTCAACACCGTATTGTCATGCAATAACTAAAAAGCCATGTTCTCCGAAGTCTCATTCACTCCCGAATGAAGAAGTATCAGAGAAAAAAAACAACAAACAGGTAGAATAAGAGAAGCTTTTAATTATTTCAATTCAATGTTTACTCAGATTTCCCTAATTTCTGCTGTTTCCTATGTTATCCAATGCAGGATAAGCATGGATCCCCATCCCTCTGACTTCGTAGGAATCTGTAGAGCCCAGTGCCTGAGAGAGGCTACACAGAAGAGTAAAATTTATACAAAAACTGTACTATGTGCAGAAGTTTGGCAGTTTCCTCTCTGTAACTGAAAGAGAACGAATGAGCTCTAATTTCTACAAACTGAGACATCTATGTTTTTAAACTAATTAAACTGAATTCATATGTTCCATCTTGATTTGTTTCATTTAAATCAGACACACAGTAAGTTATCACCTTGCCTGATGATACACTATCGCTGTAGCACTGTGTGTAATCTGTTCTCAGTTAGTGTTTTTCTTTTTCACGTTCCTCATTTCTACTTCTGCTATTCATCAGAATAACAGGATACAGTCACTCATGCTGTGTAGATGTATTGATATTTCACATTTGATTGCCTTAATACAAAAGCAGCCATGAGATTTAAGGCAATTGCTCCTTTAGATATTTCTCCCTTGCCTCTGTAGATCATGAGGAGAAATTAGATTGGTTTTTCAGACAACCTGCTGTACCAAGGTTTTATTAACAAAAAGGCCTTTCTCCTTCAGACTAAATACCTACTATTAAGCATACAGAAGAACTGTTAAGCAAATGTATGATTATAATTAGGAACACTTACAAAGTTGTTTGAGTGCATGTGCATATTCATGTGTGTGGATTAAAATAGCAAGGGCTAGATTCTGCAAATGGCAAAACTGAACAAATACCTGATAACTATTGTACTTTTGTGTTCCTAAAGTGGTCTCAGTTTATCTAAACACACTGAAATGAGAAGTTAGATAAAATATTGTAAGTTTTACATAATGAAGCTGAGAAACTCTTGAAAACTTTTCACTTATGAGATAAAACAGAGGCAACATTCTTGAAACATTTATGTTACTGGTAAACATTTTGACTTCTAAAAACCCTTTGACTATAAACAACTTCAAAAGAATTATTTATTTAGAAAAGGAATCTTAACTTTCCAAATCAATAGTTCATGTGTAGACATGTACTGAAGCAGTGGATGAGTATGAAATTAGACTTGTGAGTTTGGATCATATCTTAATGCTGTACGTGTGGACTTGGCCCAAAATATGGAATTTCATGAGATTCTAACTGAAATGAAATGTTTACAACCACCGACACATGACGAATGGAAATAAATGTGACTCACAAATAGACAGTCCATGCCATACCCCTTTATATATTTAAAAACCAGGTTAGTTTTTCAATCTTATAAAAGTTTTTTTGAGTCCCTATAAACTGCTGACCATTATCAACAAAGCTGGCGGTGGTAGGGAAAACAGATTTCATTTGGATTAACATTCCACTTAAAAGATAATTTTTGCAGTCCTCGTTTCTAATTCACCCACAGCAGCTCATTCTTCAAAATCAAATGGTGACACAAATTAGTCAACTTAGTGGCTTCTGGTTCGGTAACAAAGATTCAGTAAGTTATTATGGTTTATGAGTTAAATCATGTACAGTTTAAAAAATCTGTAACTAAATGATAAATGAAACAAGACAGTTTCTTCAGTAAAAAATCCATAATTTCCTAATTTAATATGTACTTAAAGCACATGGACACCCTAATCAAGCAAGATAAATTGCCAGAAATTGTCATATTTCATATCAATCCAACATATTGCTAAAATGACTTAAATAGTCTTGACTTTCAGAGACACTTCTCCAGAGTTTTTACATGAATTTTATTATATTTTATGAAGAAGAGTAAGATAAAAATACAAGAAAATTTCCTCCAAATGAAATGTAAAATGTGACATAAAAGGAGTGAGGCGATCCAAAGATCAGAACAGATGCACTGAAATCTTTTTGTGTTGGAAGTCTCATATTCATACTCTGTTATGCGAAACAGTGCTGTAGGGCACAGGATAAACATGGAGTCAGAAGACAAATTAATATGTCAGACAACACAGGGGAAAAATGATGAGGGATGAGGAACTCAGATAATGCTCTCTACCCTGGTTTTAATATAATTTTCTCTGTCTGATAGTCTCAAAATCCATTATAGTCAATTGTTAGCAGAAAAACAATAAAATCACACTAAAATGGAACAAAAATTGTGATTGTAATGCGATCATTGGCAAAAATAGTCCTGTATTTAAAAGGCTTAGGATTTTTATGCTAAGAAGTTTTTTCAAAGTCAATAGAAGAACTAATAATATATAATTTTGAATGAATGCTAGAAAAATTTTGTATTGTAAATATAGTCAAAATGTCTCCTATCCTATTTTTCAGATTGGTGAAAAGCCTGGTAATCTTTCCACAAATATTTTTTTTTTAAATTCCTGTGAATTATTTTCTATCTTCTTCACAAAGTCCACTGAAACAAGGCAGTCTGCATATGAAAAATGATCTCAAAGAAACATTAGACAAACGGCAACAAAAGGTTATTTTACATAGGTTTCAGATTAGATTTAAAATAATTTAAAGCCTTGTTTGCTTCATTACATTTTGTGTCAAATTAACATCAGTAATGGTCAGTATTTTCTAGAAAATGATGCCATCAAATTATTAATAACAAAGGAACAGCTTTGGCAAATACCTCCTTTGAATTTTATTTCTGAACTTCGAAACTTAGAAATGAACTATTTTTGGTTTGAATTGTGGACGCACATGGTCCTGGGGGACCTGCTCCAGGCAAACTTGCTTGAACAGGGGGTTGGGCAAGATGATCTCCAAAAGTTCCTTATCACCTCAACCATTCTGTGATTCCGTGAGATAAGAAGAATTATGAATGTATAAAACCAGAAAATGATTTCTTACAAAACAGTTTCCCCCTTCAGTTCTCCTCTTACATCTCCTCCTTCCTATCCTATGTGCTTTAAGCTGTCGCTGACATTATACCATATCCAACACCATCCCATGAGAAAGCTGAGCACCCACTTGGTGAGATTTACCAGATCTTGCTAGAAATCAGGACTATATTGACCACTTCATGCCTTCACCCCCTTCACAGACTTGAAAAGTGATGGCTCCATGTGGGTACAGGACAGCTTTCTGAACAGGTAAAGATCTGTACTTTCCTTTTCCAGGTTTCTCACAATCTTCTTGTTATAATCTACTAATTTTGTCTCATCCATTCAGTTTTTCATCCACTGTTACATGTTAATAGCTACAGTTTACTTCAAAGCACTCATTTTACTTATTTAAGACTTCTAAATACCTGTTCATTGAAATAAATTCTTCTAAAGACAAAGTCAATTTGAACATTAATCGGGCAACTGTGTGCCTTTGTCAAAATGTCAACATTAAAAGTTGGGGTTTTTTGCCTCCCTTAAATTATTCAAGTCAATGAACAGTTACATGTATTTAAAATTCATTACAATTTGAATGTGTTCACTTTAATAGAGGTGATTAGTATTTAGAAAGTACAGCGTCCCTGTGTTAGGATTTTTTCCAAGAAAGACCTTATGTAGCTGCTTTTACAA